AAAAAAAAAAAAAAAAAAAAAGAAAAGGTGGCTGATGAGAGACCATTCATCCAATAAATATTAGTGTCTACAGTTTGTTGAGGGTTTAGAATACAGAGATGAATGACCCATGTCATGAATAGAACTATGGAGGATACAGAATCTGGGGAAAAAAGGAAACCTGAAATAAATTTTTAGATTATGAATTAATGATGCCTCTGAAACATTTCTTCCCAGTTTTAAGAACTAAATAGTTCTTGTAGATATGGAAAGCAGTCTAAAAACCACAGTCTGTTAATTTGGCTAGCTTCTATGCAGCTACCTTCAAAAGAACCTAGATATTCTCCAAAGGAGATATACAAATGGGCTGGGCACAGTGGCTCACACCTGTAATCCCACCCCTTTGGGAGACTGAGGCATGACGATCGCTGGAACCCAGGAGTTTGAGACCAGCCTGGGCAATATAGTGAGAGCCTGTCTCAAAATTTTAAAATTAAAAAAGAAAAATGACCAAATGACCAAAAAATACATGAAAAGATGCTCAATATCATTAGTTAATAGAGAATGCAATCAAAACCATGATAAGGTACCACTTCAAATCCACTAGAATGGCTATCATTAAGGAAATGGAAAATAGCAAGTGTTGGTGACAATGTAGAGAAATTGGAACCTTATAAGTTGCTGGTGGGAATATAAAACAGTTCAGCCTCTGTAGAATAAGCTTCTCGGTTCCTCAAGTGAATTGCCATATGACCCAGCAACTCCACTCCTAGGAGTATAAATCAAAAACTGGTATTTAAACAAATGCCTATACACACAGATCCGTGTATATTCATAGCAGCACTAGTCACAAAAGCCAAAAGGTAGAAACAGCCCAAAACATTCATCAATAAATAAGTGGATAAACAAATTGTGGACTGTCCTTCCAATGAAATATTATTCAACTGTAAAAAGAAATGAAGTTCTGATATATGCTACAACATGGATGAGCCTCAAGCAGGGGTTGGAGGGTCAGGAGAAAAGAACCTAGATACTAGAACTAGAAAGCCTCTTCACTCATTAAATAATCCCATTGTATCTGGATATTTTCCACTAAATAGAATATCAAAAATAACATTTTTATTATGCCCACTTTAAGTTATACCGCACATGTTTGTTTCTTCCTCTTTGCCCTCATTTCAGCCATCTTTAGTAAGAATGACTCATCAGTTGATGGGAAGAACATTTGTTTCCTGGGTCAGGTATTGTTTTTAAAACACCATGACCCATTTACAGTATAAATAAAGAACTAGACTCTGCACAGACTTAAAACCTAAGAACATGAAGGGACAACTCCATGAATACATACAATTATTATGTATCAATTAAAAAAAAATTTTTAATAGAAGACACAAAGGAGGTTTTGCCTTGATCCAAGTTATTCCTGGTTCAGATGCCTCCTGAAAATGACTTCCTAGTGGAAAATACAATCTCTCCAGTCCTTTAACAAATGGTTCTTTCCCTTTTGAGAAAGTTACTTAATGGTTCAGTAATTTCCAAATAGTGTTCAACTAACCATATTAGAATTGCCTTGGGAACTTTTTTTTTAAATGTAGGAATCAGCCACCCCCAACCATATTTCTGATTGAGTGAGCTAGAGTGCAGCCTACATATCTGTGTGTCTTTAAAGCTGTCAGATCATTATGAAGTGTAATGTGTTTGAAAACTGCTACAGCTGAGCAGTTGTGGTTTCTGTTTGTACAAGCAAAACAAAGATTGCGAGTGGTGTAGTATACTATGGATGCTTAAAAAGAAAGACAGTAATAAGAATTGTATTGTTTTTACAAAGGGATCCACTTTATACATATTGGACATTAATCGTCATCCTTGAATGTGTCATTACAGATGAACTGAGCGCCAATGGACAGTATCAATGTCTTGCTGAACTGTCCACCAGCCCCATCACGGTCTGTCATGGCTCCGGTATCTCCTGTGGCAATGCACAAAGTGATGCAGCTCATAATGCTTTGCAGTATTTAAAGATAATAGCAGAAAGAAAGTAAATTTGGAGCAACTTAACAAATCTTTCAGTAGCACATAAAAAGTTCCCCTCTGGCCTCTTCCCAAGTAAAACTTTGACCATAGTGTTTGAGTTTATGTCTTGTTTCTAAATCTCTTCATAGAGTCCATCAATACTCCAGATTTAATTATCTCCTCACGGTTGTTATTAAGCTCTTTTTAATGGCTTCAACTTTGTATCGGTATATTGTATTTATAAACTTTGTACCACAAGACAGAGTGTAGCACCCATTTTACAGTGCCATGCACATCGGAGAAAGAAACTGCATGTTTGTTGTTGATGATGAAATAAAAATGCTAGCAACAGTCTTTCTTACTGGTGCTTAAGGTCTTTGCACAAAGCTTTATAAAGGGAATTCAAAGGAAGCCCTTTTGAATTAGAGTCTTGAGGGACAGCACTAACAGGCCTTTATTAAGTATGATTGTTAAATTTCAGGGAACATGATTGGTCTGCTCTGTATTTTAATTCATGTAACAAAGAACTGTTATGATGGGATTCTGCTCATTTTATTAAAAAGCTACTGACTTGACTGTCGTCCTGTTCTTGTTAGCCATTGTCGTGAATATTTTAATGTTGATAATTCTGTTATTTACATATCTCTAATTTACTTTGAAATTCAAAGGTGAAAATAAAAAATGATGGCCTAAGCAAAATTTACAAACATACATGTAATGGGTTACTTCCTTACTTTCTCTAAGCGTTTGCAACCTTGTATTTTTCTTTGACATAACCATACACAGGTGAATTACTAGTTTAAAAAGCATTTGACCACGCACGGTGGCTCATGCCTATAATCCCAACTCTTTGGGAGGCCAAAGTGGAAGGATCCATTCAGGCCAAAAGTTCGAGACCAGCCTGGGCAACATCGTGAGTCCCCATCTCTACCACAAAAAAAAAAAAAAATCAATCGGGTGTGGTGGCACACTTTAGTCCCAGCTACTCAGGAGGCTGAGGTGGGAGGATTGCTTGGGCCCAGAAGATCAAAGCTGCAGTGAGCCAGGATCACACCACTGCACTCCAGCCTGGGTGACCGAGTGAGACCCTGCTCAAAAAAAAAAAAAAGCGTTAGAATTACCCAAAAACCCTTCCCAGTTTATTCAGTTCAGTTGCAAGAATGTTCCAAAGTGATGAGTGATGAAAAGGTTAGGAAATAAGTCTAATGAACAGATTTTAACCTTTAGTGTTTCCATATATCATCTTGTAACATCTCAAGTCTTCCATCTGTCAGCGCCGGCTTGTGCTAGCTTTCTAAGTTAGGTAGAGGTCTCAGCTCTGTGTTTGGAGCTCAGGGAAAGCTTCATAGAGGTAGGTCTTTATGAATGAAGGTAGGTCTCATGTATTCATACCGAAGGAAGTATGTAGCAGGTATTTTTGTCTGGAAAAAAATATCTGGAATTCTTTGAGAACAAACTATAAAATAAAGGAAAACCAGTACATGTAACTTACCTTCAATTCTAAAGAGCACTTACCATAGGTCCATATTCTAAGTTCCATTTGTTAAACCATAGAAACAGGTGCTTTTTTTGGCAAGGTAAGGAATAGACTTAAACTGGAAAAAAAGCTGGGCATAATAGGATCTTGTGACTCTTTAAAGATTGAACTAAGGTTTTAGTAAATGGTCTTGGATATGGGGGAGGCACAATGAACTCTCTGAGATGACATTAGACTTTTGCATACTGAAATCCTGACTTGGATAAATTGGGGGAAAGTTTCATAAGGCTGATGAAAAGGATAATATCACTTGGTTGTAGACAGTCCATATGTATTGATAAAATGAGGTCTGAGGATAAGGTGCCCAGAAGATAAAATTGCTGCTGCCTCTGCTTTCCCTGCTTCTGGCTCTGGAAGAAAGTGCATTCTTACACTGTTCAAATGTCGCCTCTCAGATTATCCAGATTTTCCAGAGTTAGGGATTTTCTTGGACCATCAGGTGTATCCTTTAACACCATTTTGGTTAGCCCTCTGCTAAGGCTCTTAACCAATCTAATTAGTCAAACTTGTTAAATATAGGTTAATTTCCCAAATAGGCTCAACAGGTAATTGTGTCATAGTCATCTTCATAGTGTCAGTTCTAACACATAAGAGCATCCATTAAGTGATAAGTGACTTTAAAAGATGAGGATGGCAATAATACAATATGATGGTAATACTAATTCAATAAGTTATTGAGTACTAATGTGCCCAGCACTACAGCAGCCTCTGGGAATATGTTGGCCCATATTGTGTTATTTGATGAAGAGCCACTCCCTGATCTCAGGGTGTGCTATGATATTCCACGCAGGTTCCCCTTCCCTACAGAGGATTTTGTTTTCTCACCTTGGCAGTGTGCACCCAACAGCCCTCAACTGTCAGTAGAATTGCCCTCTAACTGAAGAAAGCCACCTCATCTAAAGTCACACTTCCTTCTTGGGCCAGGCTGCATGCAAAGACTAGTCCCATTGCCCCATATTAGGACAATCTGAAAGACCATCCTAGCTTCAGAGTTCCCCTTAGTGTCAGCTAAAGCTGCCTTTGAGATTGCATCATAGTCCATATTCTTTCTCCACCCAGTGGGGCTTCCTTTCTTTCCACAGGTGGCAATCCTTAATAAATCTCCTACCCACTTATCTTCATCTGAGCATCTGTGATCTTGGTACCAGAAGGGTTGCAGGAAAATAGGTGCTCCAGTGGGCTTTTGGAGCCATTTATCTTGCCTTTTCACTTACAGGATGAGATTCTCCTCACTGGGGTAGGGAGAAGTTAACTACTAGCACACCCTGATAGTGCAGTTGTTAAAACTTTCACTAGTGGTGAACTAAGATGGCACGTCAACTTAAGGAAATGCACTGGCAGGCACAAAGATCAGGTGGGAAACAGTGCGGATAGTGGAACTGATGAGTTATTACTGAGCTAGACCGATACCTTGGAAAAAGATAACAAAAGAATGAGAATGGGCCAGGCATAGTGGCTCACACTTGTAATCCCAGCACTTTGGGAGGCTGAGGCAGGAGGATCCCTTGAGGCCAGGAGTTTGAGACCAGCCTGAGTAACATAGCGAGACCCTGTCTCTACAAATTTTTAAAATATTATCCATGCCCAGTAGCTTGTGGCTGTAGTCCTAGCTATTTCGGAGGGTGAGGCAAGAAGATCACCTGCCCCCACGAATTTGAGGCTGCAGTGAGCTATGTTTGCACTACTGCACTCCAGCTTGAGCTACAGAGTAAGACCCTGTCTCAAAATAAAAGAATGAGAGTGATTAGTTGGTAATTAAAAGCTGAGTGTGGGATCAAGAGCAGTGGCTCATGCCCGTAATTCCGGTGCCTCAGGACACCAAAAAGGGAGGATAGCTTGAGGCCAGGAATTCAAGACCAGCCTGGGCAACATAGCAAGGCCCATCTCGACAAAAAATTTTTAAAATCAGCAGGCCATAGTGGCATACATTTGTTGTCCTAGTTACTTAGGAGGCTGAGGCCAGAGGATAATTTGGGTCCAGGAGTTCAAGGTTACAGTAGCTTACTGTGCCACTGCACTCTCAGCCTGAGTGACAAAGCAGGATCCTGTCTCAAAAACAAACAAAAACTCAGTGTGAGGGCCAGAAAACCTCCCTTGTAGAATATCAGACTCTCAGCTCCTCAAGCCAATGAGGAGAGGAAGCTGAGGACCAGGCCCAGGACTTAATCATGAGAATTAAACTCCAAAGAAGTTAGGACCCAAGCTAGGCAGGTCTACTGTGCTGTGGTCAGGACCCTGATTGGGAGAAAATGGAACCCTGACCCAAGGGATGAAACCATCAGGGTTGATGCACCTGAAAAATCTTCAATCCTCAGGTTTCGAGAACCTTCTAAGGCTACAGAAGTGCCCCTCTCTTCTCTAATAAGGGCTAGTATGCTCCCTGTTTTGCTTGAAGACAATGAGCTGTCTCTCCAAGGACAAAACATACACTCTTCAGGATCCTCCCCAACTTCCTCTCTTGGCAACTAAGCCAATTAAAAAAAAGTTAAACTGGCTGGGTGCAGTGGCGCATGTCTGTAATTTCAGTACTTTGGAAGGCCAAGGAGGGCGGATCACCTGAGGCCAGTAGTTCAAGGTCAGCCTGGCCAACATGGTGAAACCCTGTCTCTACTAAAAATACAAACATTAGTCGGGCAAGGTGGTGCGCGCGCGCCTGTAATCCCAGTTATTCGGGAGGCTGAGGCAAAAGAATTGCTTGAACCCAGGAGGTGGAGGTTGCCGTGAGTCGAGATTGTGCCACTGCACTCCATCCTGGGCTAAAGAGGGAGAATCTATCTCGAAAATAAATAAATAAAAAATAATCACGACCCCTTACCCAATTTCCAGACCTGAGTCAGTTTTTGGATCCAGGCCCATTAACTAAAGAATCTGGGTCCCCAGGAGGAAGGACTGTGTAATACCGTAGTGTGCACAAATAATGATTCCTCTAGTCCTTCTCCAAAGGGACTTATCGCCATTACTCAGGAAATCATACAGTGGTGAAAGGGGAATACTCAACATTTTGATATCTGTTGGACACAGGATCTGAGTTAACAATGATATCACAGAACTGAAAGTCATTATATGCCCTTGATTACAGTAAAGGTTATGGAGGTCGAGTCCTAGGGAGTCCTGGCCCAAGTCTGGCTCACAATATATCCACAGACCCACCTAGTCGTTGAGTGTATAATTGTGATAAATATACTTGATTAGTGACACCAGGTTTCTCAGTGTGTGTGGTAAGAGCTAACATAGTGATAAAGGCCAAGTGGCCAGGTGGAAGCTTTCAAAGTTAACCTCTTCTCTATACCAATATAGTAAATCAAAAAATAATATTTCAGGGAATGGCAGGAATTAATGTCATCCTAAAATATCTAAAAGATTCAGGGAGGATGGTTCACATTGTATCTCCATTTAATTCACCAGTCTAGCCCCTCCAAAAACCAGATAGTGGGCTACCACAAACTTTATGAGGTAGTAGCTCCAATTGTATCTACAGAGACAGCTATAGGCATCTTTGTTAGAGCAGACCCACATGGCATCAGGTGGACTTCTGGTTCAAAAATGGCAGTGTAGACGCAAGCTGGCTTCACTTGCACACCAGAAAACCAAAAACAAATATACAGCACCGAGATTATCACCAACAATATCCCAGAACTCAGATATAAGGATGAGTCAATTCCTGGGGACATAGAAGTCAAAAAACTCTGAGCAGATGGTAAGAGAATCAGACTTTTATATCTGCGGTGCCCCTCCCCACAATCTGTCTGGCACCAAGTGTGTGGAAAACTTCCCCCAACTCACAGTTTCTACAATGGAAAAAGTGAGAAAAGGTAGACAACCAACCTCTCTGCCGTCTTGGATTCCCCGGAAGGAGACCTGTCCCCGACTCAGTCCATGGGAAGTATCATGAGTACCTGAGGGAAAAACATTACCGAGGACAACCAGAGACAAAGGGAGGACGCAGGACTTCAATCCCCAGCCCTGGAAACTCTGCTCTGGAACTTGACCAAAGAAGATGCCAGATCAGAGTGGCTACTCAGCAGCAACAGCTGTAGGAGATGCATTCCACAGGTCCTCTTGGCACAAACCTTTAGCCGGCCTTTCACACTGCCAGGATATCCCCTTTGAGACCTCCCCCATTTGAGAAGGGCATCACTCTGATGAGTTTCTAGAGCGGAGGCAAAGCTGGGCGTAAGGTGCCATCAAGTGCCAAAAAGGAGACAGTGATCTAGTGGGAAAATAAGAAATTTAACAGATAAGTCACAAAGAATCTCTAAGCAAACGTCGCCAATAGAAAACAAAACAATCAAGACAGAGAAGACTGGAATAAATAGTCCTTCAATGCAAAGATATGGACGTACATCCACAAGAAAAACAACAGCAATAGGGAACCATGACCTCCCCAAAAGAACAAAGCAAGGAACCAGTATCTGAATCTAAGAAAATGGGGATATGTGAGCTCTCTGACCAAGAATTCAAAATAGCAGTTTTAAGGAAACTCAGTAACCTCCAAGATAACACAGACAAGCAATCTATAGATTTATCAGGGAAATTTAACAGATTAAAATAATTTTTAAAAAAACAAAATTCTCATTACTGAGAAATATATTTGCTGAACTAAAAAAAAAAATCAGACGATTTCAACCACAGAATGGATCAAGGAGAAGAAAAAATCAGTGAGCTCAAAGACAGGTCATTTGAAATTACACAGTGAGAGGGCAGAAAAGAAAAAAGAATGAAAAGGAATGAAGATCACCTATAAGATATAGAAAATTACCTCAAAAGACCAAATCTAAGAATAACTAGTGTTCAAGAAAAAGCTGAGCAAGAGCAAGGGGTAGAAAGCTTATTCAAAGAAATAATAAAAATTGTTCCAAAACTTGAGAAAGATATAAATATCCAGGTATGAAGGTCAGAGAACACTAAACAAATTCGACCCAGATAAGACTACCCCTTTGAGAGACACAGTCGAACTCTCAAAGGGCAAGGACAAAGAAAGGGTCCTAAAAGCAACAAGAGAAAAGATGCAAATAATATAAATTCCAATTCATCTGGCAACAGACTTCTCAACAGAAACGATACAGGCCAGGAGCAAATGGGATGAAATTTTCAGTGTTGAAAGAAAAAAAAAATCTGCCACACAAGAATACTATATCCAGCAAAGCTATCCTTCAACCATCAAAGCAAGATAAAGTCTTTCCCAGTAAACAAAAGCTGAGAGAATTCACCACCATGAGGCCCATCTTAAAAGAAATGCTAAAGAGAGTTCTTCAATCCAAAAGAGAAAAAAAAGCACTAATATGCAAAAACAAAAACATTTGAAGGTATAAAACCCACTGATGAAATTAAGTACAAAGACAATCCCCAAATACTTCAATACTGAAATTGTGATGTGTAATCCACTTATAACTCTAGAATGAAGACCAAAAGACAAATCTACCAAAAACAATAACAGCTACAGCAACCTGTTAAAAGATAAGCAATATAAAAATACATAAACTGAGACAACCAAAAGTCAAAATGTAGACGGGATGGAGTTAAGGTATAAAGGCTTTTTTTTAGTTTTTTCTTTCTTTTTTTTTAATCTAAGATAAGTTGTCATCTCTTTAAGATGACTTGGCATATCTGTGTTTCATGTAAGCCTCATGATAACCACAATGTAAAAACCTATAATAGATACACTAAAAACAAAAAGCAACAAATTAAAACATATTCCAGAGAAAATCGCTTAGCCACAAAGGAAGACAATAGAAAGGAAGAGAGGAATTATAAAACAAGAATTAGAAAACAAGCACAAAATGACAGTAGTAAGTCCTTACTTGTCAATAATAACATTGAATGTAAGGGGACTAAATTCTCCAATTAAAAGACATAGAATGGCTGAACGGATAAAAAAAAACAAGCCCTAAACTATATGCTGCTAACAAGAAACTCACCTCCGCTGTAATGACACATAGATGGAAAGTGAAGGGATGGAAAAAAAAAAATCTACGCAAGTGGAAATCAAAAAAGATCAAGAGTAACTATACTCACATCAGATAAAATGGACTACAAGTCATAGACTATAAAAACAGACAAAGAAGGTCACTATATAATGACAAAAGAGTCCATTTAGCCAGAGGATATAGTAATTTATATATCTATGCACCCAACACTGCAGCACTCAATTATACAAAGCAAACATTAATAGATCTAAAGGAAGAGATAAACTGCAATACTGTAATATTAGGGGACTTCAGCAACCCATTCTCAGTAACAGTTAAATCATCGAGACAGAAAATCAACAAAGAAACACTGGAGTTAAACCACATACTAGATCAAATAGGCCTAACTGACATTTACAGAATATTTCACCCAATAGCTACAGAGTGCAATGGTGTCATCTCGGTTCACCACCCAACAGCTACAGAGTGCAATGGTGTCATCTCGGTTCACCACAACCTCTGTCTCCTGGGTTCAAGCAATTCTCCTGACTCAGCCTCCCAAGTAGAGGGGATTACAGGCATGCACCACCATGCCCGGTTAATTTTTGAATTTTTAGTAGAGATGGGGTTTCTCCATGTTGGTCAGGCTGGTCTTGAACTCCCGACCTCAGGTGATCAACCCACCTCAGCCTCCCAAAGTGCTGAGATTACAGGCGTGAGCCACTGTGCCCAGCCCAGAATATACATTCTTTTCTCATTCTCCAGAACAGACCATATTTCAAACAAGTCTCAACAGATGCAAAAAAGTAGAAATCACAACATGGCACTACATATACAATATGCAGCTGTTGATCTGACAAATGCATCCTTTCTATCTCTATTAGAAAAGAGGATCAGAAACACATTGCCTTGGATCAGACAATAGTGAACACGTATAATCTTCTTAGAAGAATGTTAACTCTCCCACCTTTTATTGTAATATAGTCTGAAGGACCAAGACCAGCTGGGCATCTTGCAGAACATCACTGATCCACTACATCAATTATACCACGTTAATTGGACCAGAAGAGCAAGAAGTAGGTAATACATTGGAGCTACGCACATATACTCTGAAGGTGAGAGATTAAACCCTACAAAGATTCAAGGGTCTTCCATTGGTGGCTCTCTGGTGGGTCCACAGTCCAGGGTATGCCAAGATATCCCTTCCAAAATAAGCAATAAATTATTGCATTTTGTACCTCTCACCATAAAGAAGGAAGCATAGAAGAATGATAGGTTTCTATGGGTTCTAGAGGCAGCATATTCCATAGCAGGAAATACTTGCTGTTACCTATACACTGGACGACATAAAAGGCTTCCAATTTCAAGTGAGACCCAGAGCAGAAAAGGGCTCTGAAGCAGGTCCAGATGGCAGCTTTACCACTTGTGCCATGCCACCCAGCAGATGGTGTTGTATTAGATATGTAGGAAAAGATTCTGTATGGAGTTTATGAGAAGTCCTAATGGGAAAATCACAATGCAGACCCAAGAGTCTGGCTGTGCTATCTGTAGCAGAGAAGTAAACACCTTTCAACAAACAGCTGCTGATGTGCTACTGGGCTTTTATAGAGATATAGCACCCGACAAAGGGATGCCAAGTGGCCATGAAGCCAAGACCAATGATTATGAGCTGGGTTCTATACATGTAGAACACAAACATAGGCAGATGGCACAGCATGTTACATTAGCAAGCAGCCTAGACTCCCATGTCTCTACCACTGTTGCACCAGTGTCTCTCCCTTGGCTTACATTTATTGCCACTGATCCCATATGACCAGATGATGAAAGAGGAAAATGTATGAATTTGACTCACAAATGGGTATATTTTGGCAAACAAAACAGATGGTGGCTATGTTACTGTGCAACTCAGGGGTGGCCCTGAAATTCAATGATAAGGGAAAATCCTCCCAAAGGGCGGACCTTTGAGCAGTGTACTTTGCCGCCCATTTGTATAGAAAGGGTCTCAAGGTTAGAATATACATGGGCGGTGACAACTGGCTTGGTCATGGGATCAGGGTCCTGAAAACAGAGAGACTAAACTAGTGGGAACAAAGAGATTTGAGATAAAAATGGTGGACTGGGCACATGAGAGTGGGCACAAAGTGTTAGGAGCTTTGTACTGCATTTGATCTATACCACCAAGTACCCATAATAGAAAAGGCCCTGACCAACCAAGTTACTATCAGGACTTGGCCAGTTAATAACACCCAGCATCTGGCATTGGAATAATTACTGTGGCAGGAATGGAGGCTAAGTAATAGACCTAACAGGATGGGCGCCTATACACTGAGGCTGATTTGTTATAGTCACTACTAAATTTTCAGCCTGCTAACAACAGAAACCAATGCTGCAATACTGAGTGCCTATTCCTCAAGAAGACCAATCAGCCACTTGGTGGCAAGCTGACTTACAATAATGATCCTAACAAGAGGCAGTGACTCATTTTGACAGGAATAGACACATATTTTCCATGATTCTCCTTTTCTATCTGCAGGGCATCAGCCAGCATCACGGAGGGCTTTCAGAGTGTTTGAACTACCTCATGGGACCTGTTTTATAGCAAAGGAGGAAAGAGAGTGGGCAAATGACCACAGCCTCTGCTTGTCATATTATTACATGCTGCATCACCCAGAAGCCTCTACCCTGATAGAATAATTAAATAACTTGTTGAAGGCATACGTAACACGAACACCATCCTTTAAGATGAAATGTACACTTTAATGGTCTTTCTGTAGGGCTGTGTTCTCAATAGGTAGAATACATGGGTCCAGGAATCAGGGTGTAGAAGCAGGAATGGCCCTGCTTTTTATCATTCCCAGTGATTCTCTAGGGGGAAATTGCGCTTCCTGGCTCCACAACACTGGGCCCTGTCATTTAGAGGTCCTGCTTCCTAAAGGTGAAACACCTCCACCAGCAGATGTAGTTTGCAGTTCAGTGAGACCCAAGAAGAGACTCATTGGTCTCATTGAACTATGAGCTACATCTGCTGACTAGGTACTTCAGGTTCCTTGCACCAAGAAAGTAGCAGGCAAAAAGAGGAGTCACATCTTAGTAGGGATAATGGATCTTATCATAAAGAGGAGGACTACGGTTACACAGTTGGAGGAAGGAGGAAAATGTTGGTACCCAAGTAGTGCACGGATGCACCCCTTGGTATGCTCTTGCCCAATTTTGATTGTAAATGGACAGTGTAGCAGCCATTATCAGCCTAAAAAGATTATGGGGACCAGGGACTCTGAGCCTCTGAGGATTGAGGGCTGAGTTT